AGATTTTGTACATCAAATACTTATTTTACCCATTGTGGTTTTAATTACCTTCTGTACTGGGGTTTCCAAATTTTCACCTCCAATCTAGACCGAGACTTACCCTGAGCAATGGATCCTTATCTGATTGTTACATATTTAACAAATATGTAAGCATTTGTTAAATGATTTATATTATACTAGAGGCGCAGTGCATGAAATTTATGCACGGGTAGGGTCCCTAGGCCTGGCCGGTGATCAGGGCGGATCGGGGCCTTCTGGCTGCTGGCAAGGGCCTTCCTTCATTCGAGCCGCCCCCTGGTGGTCAAGCGCACGTCATAGTGAGTGATCGAACTCCTGGTCTCCGAACTCCCACGGGGAAATTTTGCATATTAGCCTTTTTTATATATATAGATGTTGATATAATATATCCTCCTTTCCTTGGGAGATACAAGGGTTTTTGTGACCAAGCATATTATTAATGGCTTTTTTTCATGTGGTTAGAAAATAAAAATGCCAACCCCGAGGACTGGTTCCTGAAGTATAAGCTCTTGGGTCATGCATGAAAACATGTCCTCATGACAGAATGTTACCCTGCCAAACAAGTGAAAGGTTTTGCAATCTTGTTCACTGTTTGCTGGCAGTGGTTCTCAACCTTCTGGCCCTTTAAATACAGTTCCTCATGTTGTGATCCCCAACCATAAAATTATTTTTGTTGCTACTTCATAACTGTAATTTTGCTACTGTTATGAATCGTAATGTAAATATCTGACATGCGGGATGGTCTTAGGCGACCCCTGTGAAAGGGTCGTTCGACCCCCAAAGGGGTTGCGACCCACGGGTTGAGAACCTGCTGCCTTAGTGCATCTAACTTTCTTCCTTTACTGCCCCTTTGAACACAAATGCATGTTGAAGGTAAGTGGGAAGTTCAGAATTGGGATATTAATTTAACTAAACTAATGCAGTAGCTCCAGAATTAAAATATAATTCCTAAATTTTGTCTAAGTGTGTCTTCATCTAAGCTGTTAGAATTGGGAATTTTAGAATTAGATGGGATTTTAGAAACCATTTAGTCTCATCTCCCACCTAATAGAAGACTCATTCTATACCCTCCCTAACTGTTGGTTAATTATCTAGCCCTACCCCCTACCCCTTTCTTTTTCTTTCCTTCTCCTATCTCTCTCTCTCTTTCTCTCTCTCTCACACACACTTACCTTCTTAAAAGACCGGATTGTAACTATTTTGGACTTGTGGGTCATTTGGTCTTTGTCAGAACTGTTCAACGATGCCATAGTCATTATGTAACAACATGAGTATGGCTGTTCCAATAAAACCTTTTTTATAGAACAAGCGCTAGCCCTTTGGCTATCGCTGACTCCTGCCTGACCTATTAAGACCTCAGTTTTCTCTGTCTGGTAATGTGATTGTTCTCAAGTTTTGTACCAATTCATTAAATACTATTTGGTTACAATATTCAACTATGTGAATCTATCAAATAGTAATAGCTGCCATTTATTAAACATGGTGTGTGTACTATGTGCTTGACATAGATAATTAAATTGAATCCCTAGAAGCACCCTGGGAGATACAGTGATATTATTACCAATTTCCAGAAAAGTAAGGTATATGCTGTACTGTTAAACAGGTGTAAAAGAACACCCTCTTTCTCAAAGGCAAAATGTTTTATTTTTTCCCATCTTGGTCACAGACATGTGTTGGGAGACTGTCAAGTATAGGAATTGGTTGGAATCGCCGTACAAACTGTTTTCTAATCTGCTATTTTGGGAGCTTTACAAAGAGTTGGTTTAAATGCCATGTCTTACTTTTAGAAAAAAATGATCCCTAGGGGAACAAGTGCGTTCATGTTGTGTTTGCAAATTAGTCTATATCCAGCCTTCCCTTCTGCCATTTCTTAAATCATGGATGGCAACTTCGTGGTTAAACCTTTTAGGCCCCTCCCTCAGTATCTTCATATGCAACTTGAATACACTTAAAGTAGCTAGGATCTACTTTTTTGTATACTAAGGTTTCTTTAGGGTTATTTGTTTGTTTTCCTTTAGTTAATATTATTACGATGTTTATTGTGGCCTTTCAGTTTAAGTGTCTTTTCTGGTGTGGAATTTAAAATGTAGTAGTCTTAGGTGCAATTTGACTTAAAAGCCAGGAGGTGGCAGTGTTTTCCAGGTGCTGCTTTAAGATTTCAGGTGCTGAAGGAATGTTTTTAAATACCACTAGAAAGAGGACCTAAAGAACAGTGTATTCTTTCTTGTCTGAAAAATCATGGATCGAAGAAGAAGTTGCTTCAACTCTACAGTGCATTTTAATGAAAGCTAGAAATAGAATATTTCCTGAAGTTAGGACAGCTGCAATTTTGAACTTTGCTTCTTATTTGAAGGATATATTTGAACTTATACTAGGTATTTACTTCAGAAACAGGAAAAAACACCTGATTAAACCATGTCTTCATATCAGACCGTGGGCAATGGAAAAATAACTGATAACTATATTTAAATAAAAATGGAATTAACTTTATTTTTCTTATAGTAAATCTAATATATATTTGTTGTTTTTAAAAAGAAAAATCTAGTCTACAAAACAAGAGAAGAAAAAAGTTTTACAATCACTCAGATGCCAGCTCTCTGAATACAATAATTGTTAACTTTTTGGCTGTTTAAGTATCTAAATATATACTTATGATGAACTATGTGTGTGACCTCATCTTTAGAATTTAAGTTGCTACAGTATAAAAATAATCATCTGTTTTGAATTTCAAGGCTTCTTTGCATTCACAAAGGTTTGCTTTACCCCGTCTATCTTGACTTATTTTTACCCTACATATTGTCCTTGAATTTTCTCTTCAGTTTACTAATTTAATACTCAGAAGTAGATTTGAGTGAATTTGTTTTAGCCTATTTGATGTAAAAAAAAACCCCAACTTTGTGAAGCAGTAAATTTGACATAGTTTCTTTATATGTAATTTCTCCTTAAATAGTGTTTTGTAGCTTATTCTCATGGGATGTGTGTCAATTAGGATTAGGTTTGGCTGCATACTTCAGAAATCCAGTATGGGGGTCTTAACAGAAATAGACTTTCTCTCATATTCATGACATCTAGAATTAGGAAGTGCAGGGATAATAAGGAGTTTTATTACCCGGAGTCTCATGGTTCCAAATGGCTCCTTGAGCTCCAGCTCTCACATCCAGACTCTAGGCAGCAAGTATGAAGAAGGGCAGAAAGGCAAAGGGTTTTTTTGCTGGCTTAGATCAGTCCCTCTAAGCACACTTTCCAAAAGACACAAAACTATTTCATTTTACATTTTATTGGCAGTCACAGAGTCGTGTGGCTTTTTGGCTGTACCTGTTGCCTGGGAGCCTGAAATGTGTAGTATTTTATTTCTGCCACAATGTATGTGGCTAGACAGCTGGGTCCTGCTCCTTGTGAAGGAAGGACGGAGTGGATGTTGAGGTGAGCAACTTGGAGCCTCTTCCTCACAGTTAAATGTCATCATGGGAAGTGATGCTAAGAAACCTCTGTTCTGCCAGTTGATTTGAACACTCATTTTATCCATAATCACTTTTGGTTTTGTGTTATAATTCCAAGATACATGTACTAAATACTTTTCATACATTTTATATAATCCCCCAATACTATCTCATAGGCACCATCCATTATTACATGTCACATCTGAGAAAACCAAGGCACAGAGAGACTGCATAACTTGTCCATGTTGTCATAACTAGTAATTGATTATTCAGACATTGAGCCTGCTGCTTAAGATCAGTATTGAAAACTGCCTCTGTCCTCTGCTTATTAATCTACCTATATATCTATTAATAAGGGCCACTGCCATCCCTGCCCCACACCTTATACATAAAAATCATTTGAGGTTGCTTAAACATACACAAAGAACAGAAAAATGAGAAAATAAGCAGATTGTAGGAAACCTAAGAGTGAGAAAATACAATGCAGTTGAGGAACAATTGGTACACAGAATTGGGTGCAGTCTGATCCTGTGGAGGTGCTGGAAGTCTTGGTCTGATTTGTTCCTGGGTTCTAGTATAGTGGAAGGCGGAAAAAGAAAATTGAATTTTCTTTATTTGGACACTTGGCATCTTCATTGTTTAGTCACATAATAATTTATATCTGTTGCTATTTTCTGATTTTCTCTTTGTAAATTAGGTAAGATGAATTATCATTGCTTATTTATTTAAGATGTGGAAACCCATTCAAAGAAAATTTTTTTAGCTGGAATATGGGTTTTATGCATAGTACAAACTAGGGCTCATTTTGTTTGTTTATGGAAATGCTTCCTGTCCGTTTTAAAAAGATACGTATTTTGGAAGATTGAGATCTCAGTAAAAATGGTGTTGTGCTAACTACTTGTTAGAGCTCCTTCCTACACAACACACACACACACACGTCTGTGAGCTCCTTGAGGACAAAAGACTTGGCCTCATACACTTTTTTCCTCCAGTATCCTCAATGTATAGGTGTTCAGTAGGTGAACAATGAATGAATGACTGGTAAATGAGAAACATTTGTTTATAAATGTTATAAATAATGTTTCTGCTTCTTTAAACTTAAGTCATTTACTCAAAATAAGTGAAAAATAGGTCTGACTTTTTATAGCCCTAGCAAATGTGAGATGGGTTATAGTGCCATTAATGATTAGACATTGGAACCACAAAGTGCAGCCCTTGAACTTGGTGTGTTCGGAGAATTACCATGACTGTGATACACCTGGAACGTAGTGGTGGTATAGGCAAGTAGCAGGAGATAAGTTTGGCAGCCGCCTGGCGTGTAAAAGTTACTAATTAAATTTAAGGAATGAAAGTTAGATTTTAATGATGTTATCTTTTTAAAATGGCATTTTTAGTGGGGAAAATAAGGGACATGATTTGATTTGAGTAACATTTAAAAATAAATAGTATAGATTTGTTTTTTGCATTTTAGTTTTCAAGTTTACTTGTGAAAAATTCAGAAAACATTAAAGTTTAATTACTTTATTTTATTTTGTTTCTCAGGATGTGATCTTCGTGGCAGGAAGCTAAGTTTTTAAACTATCCCAATGGATGCAGACAGTGATGTTGCATTGGACATTCTAATTACAAATGTAGTCTGTGTTTTTAGAACAAGATGCCATTTGAACTTAAGGAAGATTGCTTTGGAGGGAGCAAATGTAATTTATAAGCGTGATGTTGGAGTAAGTATCTGAATTTTGGTATGTATGCTAATTGTATAGTGCTAGGAATGATGTACTAAAATGTATTTATTCTATAGAGCAGCGGTCGCCAACCGGTGGTCCGTGGACCACTGGTGGTCCGTGAGGTCCAAAAGATTGGCAACCACTGCTATAGATAGTTTATGAGCACCTTACCATGTGCTAGTTGTGCTGGATACAATAGTGAGCCCTGTAGAAGTGGCACCTTTTCTCATGAAGTAGCAGCTTTTGGAGATACTTATCTCCAAGTCTTACCAAAGAACTCATTGGCTACTAGACATTTTATACTGTTCTCTCAATTTCTTTTGACTGAAGAAGGCGACTTTTGTACTTTTTATGTATGTATATTTATTTAAATACTAGAGGCCCGGTGCACAATTTGTGCATTGGTGAGGTCCCTCGGCCTGGCCTCTGCCCTCTCATAATCCAGGACCCCTCGGGGAATGTCAGAGAGCCGGTTTCAGCTTGATCCCCACAGGCCAGGCCAAGGGACCCCACCAGTACACGAATCCGTACGCATATAAGATCTTTGGTTAATCTCTTCCCACCCTTCTCCCTCCCCCCTTCCCTCTGAGATTCATCAGTCTGTCCCATGTTTCCATGCCTGTGATTTCTGCTCCTATATTGAGTGTCTGCCCCCTGGTAATCAGTGCACGTCAACCAGCCAATCGCTTGGACTTTTATATATATAGATAATTATGTTTGAATGGTGTCCTAGGATAGAGAAAGTCAGATTGTAAATTTTGTAGCATGCTGTGATAGCCCTCTTTAATTAGCCAGGATAGTTGGTATTCTTTCAGTAGCAAATTGCTGAAAATATGGTTCATATCCTACCCTGTACATTCTAAATTTTAATTTTTGTAAAACCTATAATACTGAAAATAAAAGCTGTTAACTTGCTTTTTTAACCTTAGTGTTTTGAGATTAAAATTATACAATACAGTGGGTGTTCATTTGGCTTTTATAAACCAATGATTGATGAGATTATATATCATATATTTTTTATGAAAATTAAGAATGTATTTGAAGGCTTTATTTAAGCTCTAAAAATTAGATGCCAGTATACTTAGGAAAATTATTATTAGCTCTTAGTGCTAGAAACTAAGTGAAGTTGAATTAAAATTTTCAGTGACCCGCAATTAAAGATTTTCAAGTTCAATAATGCCATCTTCATTTTTTTTTTTTTTTAAAGGAGTAAATAGGTTTGCTAAAAAGTTTAGAGAAGAAATTGCCTAATGCTACTTTGAGACTTTTAATATACCATATGGCAGGGAAGTCATTTTTCCTAGGAACGTTAACTGAAAAGGCTGAGTTGATGGACAAGCTGGTGGTGAAAGACAAACGTAGAATAAACTCAGTCTAGTGTTTCCCAGCCACTTGTGTTTGAAAATTTATAATTATTTACTCAGATTTTATTTTGTGTCTTTGTTAATTTTTGTCTTCCCAGATTTAATAGCTTTCTAGTTTGATAATATGGCATATAACAGAGAAAAGGAAGACCTCAAACTGTAACAAGAGTTTTAAGGAGAAATATCTGATTCATTTATGTGCTACATTATTCAGTAAACATTTATCTCTTACATATAATGGGAATTTGATAAATATTTCCATAAATGAAAAGTTGCAATGAAAATTTAAATTCACATATTATCTTGGATCTTAGCTCTTGACCTATTTATACTCACAATGTAAATAATTTTATTCAAACCCATAGCTTTAAATGCCTTCCATATTTAAAATTATATCTCTAGCTCCAACTTTTCCCCTGCATTCAAAATTTGCATATAGAACTAGAATATATAATAGGCATTTTAACTGTAAGACAATGTCAAGTAGTGATGGATACCATGAGGCTGAATAAAGCAAGGTTAGCATGTACAGGGCAATAAAGGGATGGGTGTTTTGGTGGAAGAGTCAGGGAGGGCCCCTCTATGGAGGTGACATCTGGTGAGAAACTTGAATGAAATGAAAATATGAAGAAAAAATATGCCAGTTGAAAATAACAGCTTCTGCACAGCTCATGAGATGTGGGGATTTGAGGATCCGTGCAAATTATAAATTGTAATCATGTGACTGGAGTGGAATGAGAAAAGAAATGTTTACATACTTGGTAGCTCATTGGTTTTAAGTATTATTAGTGAGAGATTTATATAGTCCATGTATTTTTTAATTAAGTGTCCTTTTGGATTAATACATTCTTTTGTTCAGTATGGTACTTGATTTCAGAATGGGTAGATGATGCAGGGAACAGTTATTTTGATTGTGGGAAAGCTTAGAATAGTATTTAAACATTAAAATAGCCACATAGAGCAGAAGCATACAGGGTGGGGCAAAAGAATGTTTACAGTTGTTTGGATGAAAAATTATACAATAATTAATAATAATTATTAAGAATAACTGTTTTGCATACTCACAACTGTAAGCCTACTTTTGTTCCACTCTGTAAATGAAAATTAATCCTTATTATGTACTTTTTTATTTTTTCCAGAAAGTATTAATGAAACTTAGAAAACCTAGAATTACAGCTACAATTTGGTCCTCAGGAAAAATTATTTGCACTGGAGCAACAAGGTAAATTTTATTTGGGTTTTTAATTTTTTAATTTCCGCCTCATGAAAGGAACATTTGTAAACTTAGAAACAAAATCATATGTACAATTTGTCATGTTCCTCAGTATAAAATTGATTTCCTATATAACAATCTTTTTTTTCCCCTAAAACCATAGTGAAGAAGAAGCTAAATTTGGTGCCAGACGTCTAGCCCGCAGTCTGCAGAAACTAGGTTTTCAGGTAACGTTTTCAAAGTGTATCCAAACTGCAAATATTCAAGGATTTATTATTGTAAAGTTAAAACTTTGAATTTAGTAGACTAAAGAAATCACGACAGAAACTACCCTCATGATTGACCTTTTCCTAAGGTTTTTATACTGTTCTTCAGTATAAAAAGTTAGTAGCAAAATTTGTCCACGTGGATGTTTTTAAAGGATCCTGACTTTTTTTCAGATTCTTCTTATAGAGAGACACTGGCTTGTTTTCTTACAAGTTAACTACATTTTTTTTTTTTTTTTTGCAGCCCATAAGAAGTTTATTGTGTCTTCAAGACACTATACGATGTAGACTCATCTCCCAGAGGAGGGTCTTTCAGAGACAGGGAGCCATCCTCCATATGAATTGCTCATTTGTCGTTTTCATAGGTGGATGGGTTCTTCCTTCTGGATTTCCCAAACTCCTCAGTCCCCCATGTGTAGACAAGATAAAATGCTACAAATGCTCGCCCTCCACAGTCGCAGGATCCACTGGCCTCCGTCTGCCACTTCTTAAATACCTTTTTAACTCTTTAAGTTTTTTTCACCTTTAACAATGCCCCACCTCTCCCTCCCCCCAAAACAAACAACCACCAAAAACATCACATATTTCTGATCATCCCAAGAGTAGTGTACATATATATTTCAGGATGAGCTGAGAGCTGCAGGACCCTGTTGACATGTACACACTAGTTGGCAGGCTCTCACACTTAAACAGTGATCATCGCTGGCTGGGTAACCTCATCAAATATAATTTTGTAGAGGCATAAATTTGAATAAAATTAATACATATCATGCACTTGCTGAGTCACTTGAAGATAATGAGTAAATGAAAGATAAAGACGAGTCCCTAAAGAGATGAGCCTAGGCTCTTTTGACTTTAGATGGGAAGTGATGGGAAGTTGAGTTTCCCTCTGATGACTTCAGTCTCCTCTGAGGTAGAAGGTGAGAGGAAGGCACTGACGAGCTGGTGGGTGTGGGAGTTCTGGTGCTTGAAGAGAGGTGGTATAGAGACAAAAAATGGTGGGGCACTTTGCACAATTTTATGGCTTTCTTGCAGCTATCTTGTGCAGGTACTGAGCTGGAGGATGGGTATTTATCCAGAATTGTGGTTTTACTAGGAACATTTGAAAAGATAAGATAAAACCAGTCAAGGAGTTGCTGAAGTTATTAATTTGAGAGGACATTATTTTTAGCCTTTGAGCTTCTTATCTTAGCATAAAATTAGAAATGTTGAGAGAAATTCCAATAAATTAAAAAGCACAATTTTATCCCTTTATCCCTCACTCTGTCCCCCTAAAGAAAGCAAACATCTAAGCTCACAGAAAGATCATTTTACCTTACTGCATATAAGAAAAAGTCTGATCTTTGGAGTTTAGTGTATACTCAACTATTCATTGAGTTTTAAAGTAACAACTTTTCCATTTAAACTCTTGAGAAGAGGACTGTGTTTTCATTTTTTTTTTCTTTTTGCTCTCCTATCCCAGTAGACTGAATATCCCATTTCAAATATAAAAAAACAAAACAAACTAAATTAAACATGAAATTCAATCATGCAAATATCTCAGGTTTTATTTTCTTATTAAAGTTTTTGAGTTGTTTTTCTTTAATGAATCACTGATAACTTAAAATACTGGGTCCATGCTTAAGATATTTGTTTTATTTGCTTTTTAAAGATTGAAACTTATTTATTAAGGATTTCTCTGATGAGCAGATTTTTTTGTTTCAAAATAATTCACTGAGTTTTATTTCTCTCCTAAAGGTAATATTTACAGATTTTAAGGTTGTTAATGTTTTAGCAGTGTGTAACATGCCATTTGAAATCCGTTTGCCAGAATTCACGAAGAACAATAGACCTCATGCCAGGTAGGTCTTTGAGAAATCAAAGTAACTTACCGAATTTGAAATTACTTGTCAGGCTATAAATACTTACATTGTGGCTTTCTTTGTGTAGTTATGAACCTGAACTTCATCCTGCTGTGTGCTATCGGATAAAATCTCTACGAGCTACATTACAGATTTTTTCAACAGGAAGCATCACAGTAACAGGTATTTTATGATATTGAAACCAAACTTGTTAATTCTGTATTGAATGAAATAAGAGGTGCCCATACCAAAATAGAAATAATGTCTAATTTGTCACCTTTAGTCACTTTTGCCCTTAAAGGGGAACCAGTCTCCTGACTTTAACATGATAGGTTAGTTTGACCTGCTTTCATATACTGTTTTAAAATCATAGTACTTTGCTTCTGTCTTCTTTCACTCATTATTATCGCAGTGGGATTCATCCTCCGTGTAGTGATAGATCATTCATTCTCATTGCTGTGCAGTGTCCAGTGTATAAGTATACTGTCCACAGGCATTTGGATAGTTTCCAGTTTTGAGCTATTAAAAATATTCTAGTATATTTTTTCATAATATTACTTTTAAACTTATAATATCTTGCATTTAAAATACTTAAGAGAATTCAGTTTTATGAACTTTATAAAGGTTTTACATAAGCAAAGATGTAAATATAATTTGTACCTATTTGTTACATATCTTTTGAGTCAACTATTTGGAAGGGGCGGTTTCTAAACACTAGGCCTAGGTGTCAGAGGGTAGCAGTGACTCCGCAGGATGATTTGTACAGGTGCCATGGTTGTACGTTGTACAGAGACATTACTTGGGAATCAGACCCAACTTTTGGCACATTTGTGTTAAGGGAAATTTCTTTAGTGTCCTTGAGTTTTTCTTTTTCTTCCCTCAATCCTTAAAGGAGAATAAAAATTATTAACACCTTAAACACTCAATAAATAAGTTTTAGTTTTGACTCATCCCATGGGTTTTCACACCTACTTCTGAAACTTTTCAAGCTTATTGCCAGGGCTGTGCCTGAATTAAAAGTGGAGTGGTGAGGAACACATCTATTTGTTCCCTTCTTTCAACTGTCATTTCTGTACTTTGGAACCCAGACTTCTGAGGGGCCCCAAAGTCTACAGATAAGTCTCTACTAAGTATAGAATAAAATGATGCATATGTAAAATCTGTCTTTTATCGAGTTAATAGATATTTAAACAACACAATAACAAACTGAAGACAACTGACCTGGTTAATTAGGATGCGTTATATATTTACATCTGTAATATTTTATGAAATTCTATAACAATTCAGTGAACACATACTCAGTATGTGTTCCCATGGGCAAAGCACTGTACTATGTGTAGGGGTAAACTGAGTCAGGAAGGGAGTGGACCAGTGTAAGACGTATTCAGATTGTCAGAGTATACAGGTCCATATGTATGTTTTTTAGGATCCTTCAAAGGTGGTAAGTATAGTTAGTGAAACCATTTTTATTCAAAATGTTATGAAAATATTTTTTATTACCCACTTTCATGTTTCTTTTGAGCTATTTAAATGAAAGATTACATTTTTTAAAAGTTATTCCCAGCGTCACCTCATTCCCTTGTGCTTTTTTGTGTTCTCTTGCCTCAGTAAGCTGCGAGGGTGAGATGGCCAGATTGGTGGTAAACATATTGCTGCCAAGGAGCAGTAAACCTGTGGGCATTGTAGACCAGGTGGCTTCTAACAGCTTCCGCGTCCCAGCACCTGGGAAGCAGCTTTGCTTTACTCTGCTGGGCTTCCGACTCCCGCAAGCTTCAGTTGTAGCCTCACAAAAAGCCAGACTGCAGTCTCCAAAAGGAGAATGTTTTTCTGGGCCCGTTTGTCCTTTCTCCCGTTAATAGTCCTATCATAGCACTTTCTGTTCTCCTCTGGGATAGTTTGTGTGTAGTTTTTTTATCTACGCTCTTTTCACACTGGTGCCCTAAAACGAGATGAGTAACATCATTTTTGTTTCAGATTTCCTTTAATTGTCCAAGGAAAATTTTATTCTCTTAGTTTTCATTATGACTATGTGTATAATTATGTTTGTAGATTATTTAAAACAGTAACCCCCGAACTGCTTGGGTATTTTTAATTGTGAGAACTGAGCTTTTCCCAGTGCTTTCCGTGCCTCTTCTCACCCCTTCCTCCGTTGTATGTGTTTCAGGGCCCAATGTAAAGGCTGTCGCTACTGCCGTGGAACAGATTTACCCGTTTGTGTTTGAAAGCAGGAAAGAGATTTTATAATTCATCACTTAATTGGTTAGAATCCCTAACTGAGCACCTTTTAAAACCTGCTGCACATTGGACTCAAAACAAAAGGAAACTGGACCAACAGTAATTGAGGAAATAGACTCTTTTATTCGTTCACGGCTACAGTGTAAAAAGCTCCAGTCCCCTTGGATTTTATTTCAGACTTTGCTGTAATATAAAAGGGAAGTTTACAAGACATGACATTGCTGCTTTTACAGAAGGACGTTCTATTTATTTTCGCAGTAATTCTCATGTCCCCATAAGCAGAGCTGTCACAGTGTGCACTACCTTAAATTGTTTTGTTGTTATTTTTTTCCAGTTTGAGCTAATGTGTTTTATTTGTGAATAGTCTTTTACATTTTTGTATGCTGAATATGGGCACCAAAGAACCTGTAAAAGTTATCTTTTTCAATTGAATATGCACAAATAAAAGTTTGGAAAAGGTCTCTCTTCATATCCATTCTATAAATTTTATTCCCCATTTTCTATGAATAAAAATTGTATTCATAATTTTTTTTAATCTATGCAAGCTTAGACTTTTGCTAAAGTGTGTTGGCTTCTTTTTGAAGTATGTTTTGTGAATATATATAATCTTTTAATTCTCTGTTACCAAATATCAAATAGGGATTTTTTTAAGATTAGAAATAAAAACATGTATACAAATTCTAGGGAACCAAAGTAGAACTTTATAGATTAAGCATAATGTTTTATGTTGCTAATTTAATATGCTAGAAAATGTTAGATATCTTTTAAAAGTTACAAAAGTGTAGTTTTAAAAAGAGAAACTTCTTACTTACAAGATAGTTATAAGAAAGAAGGTATGATGGGTTGTACCTCATATGTACCTTTGTATTCTGGAAAGACTCAACTCTAGTTGTAGGAAAGTAATAATCTTAGGTTGGTACTCAAGGCTATACTGTCTTGTCACATGGTGATATATTGTGCTGTTTTAATAAGAAGTTCCACTAGTTGCCTCTGTGCCACGGTATCATAATCTAGTTCAACTTGAACTTGAAAGCCGTTTTGCAAGATCTGTCTTTCCCTTGCTGTGTCTTATGTAAAGGAGCTAAAGAGTGACTACTGAGTATATAGGATGGCTACTCTTAAAGTGATAAATACGCCTTTCTGAAACAGCGGCTGTCTGGCTCAGCCACAGCCTTGGAATGGTAATGCAGGATCAGGCTGCCATTGTGCTCTGCCCTGTGTGTTTAGGAGTTTAGTATAAACAGTGATTTTACCTAGAAATAAGACCTAGTCCAGAATCAAATCAGCTTCTCCATAGGGACAATATTCCAACACAGTCTTCCTCTAAAACCTGAATTTCAAAAATGTTTGAAACCTTTGTGAAAAATTGCAGTATCTTAACCTCTATATTCTAGTACATTTTCCTTACCGTATTATAAATCTTGAAAACTTAGTTTAAGCACTGCACTGAACAATACATATTACTTTGTTTTTGTCGTCTTCTCTATATCTTCCCCTACCCTGCCTCTCACTCCCTCATAAGCAAGGGCAAATGCTAACTTTTGTATTTTCTTTCTTGTGAAAAACTTAACCGTGATTTTCAGACTTCTCTTGTCCTTACTTTTACATTTGTGTTTGCCGGTAAAGTTCCAATAGGATAGCTAACCTCATAAAATAGAGAATAAAATTCAATCAAAAGGTTACAGGTTCTGTGAAGACTTTTTAAATTTGAGATTTTCCACTTATTTTTAATTAACAGTAATTAATAAGTGACGTCCGGTTTGCTGTGTTCCCAAAAAAGGAATACGGAAAAGGGGAAAAAACATGATTATATGGCCAGGGTATGTAACCAGATGTCATGACATTTTCAGTATTCGAGTGACTTAAAAACTAGTAGATCAGTAAGCAGCTCATCAAAATGCTTTCTTGGAAAAGAGGAGGAAAGACAATCTGGCCAGGGCTGGTTTCAGGCTGCAGGAGCGGCACTTGGCTGACTGGCCTGGACAACCCACGGAACTTAGCAAAGTTGGTGAGAAAGGAGCCAGTTGGTGTCTTTTGCTGGCTTTTCACAAGTGCTGTAAATGTTTTTATAAATAAAAACTGTGACTATATACATACAAATTCGAAGTATTTCCCCTTTTATTTTTGAAAATCAAAAAGCTCTGATTGGCGGTGTATTGGGTGAAAATTAGATTGAAGATAGAGTTGTTTAGTTATAGACTCAATAGAAAAGAAAAATATTACAAAGCATTTTAAGATACTGAAGTTGAAATCACTAGTAATAAACATAATAAATAGGTTGATAAACAGTTTCCTGCCCGTTAACAAAGAATGGCTAAACCAAGATAGCTAAAGTATACATAGCATTTGAATTTCAAAGAAAACATAACAATTTTGTTAAATATCTTATATTCTGTGATGCTTGTCAAAGCACAAAAATTTATATCGATTACCTATCTTGATTTTTTAAAATCTCAATATAATTCCACTGAAGATTTATAATAAATTTCTTAAATTTATCCTCTACAGAACACACTTTCTCTTCTTCAAAACAAATAAATGAGGGGGGAAAAAACCACACCAATGCATGCTCTAACTTGCATATGAAATGTTACACAAGACCCAGCGCAAGTAGTGTCTTCTGAATGTCATTTATCTCAAATCTCTTTTCCTCATAACTTCCCCTGCCAGTTTTAATCGAGAGAGTACATTTCAGAACCAGGACTGTTAGACATTCTCCTGAGTCTCTGATAATATAGTTTTACTATTTTTTAATACTCTTTTTTAAAAATATATTTTTATTGATTTCAGATAGAAAGAGGGAAGGGGAGAGAAACATCAATGATGAGAGAGAATCATTCATTGGCTGCCTCCTATATGCCCCACACTGGGAATTGAACCGTGACCTCCTGGTTCATAGGTTGGTGCTCAACTGTTGAGCAATGCCAGCCGGGCTAGTTTTACTATTTCTTACAACAGTTAGTCTTCCACTTTGTTACAAGGAATTGTAGTATCATATACCCTTATAGCAAGCTTGGGACAGTTTGTTACATCCCAGGAGGAAAATTCCAGGCTAAATAAAAAGGGTCCTTGTTTTTGACTCAGGATTCTCTTTTCTTCAGATTAATCATATTTTTGTATTCATTCTCAAGTTAGGTTGCTCATTAAGTTTTTTTAGTGTCTTCCATAACTTAGAATATTAGTAATGTAATGGATTACTACTTAGTGGTTTGAGATTCGTCACTGTAGTTTTCTATCATATCTAAATTCTATAGGTAAAATGCTTCACCAAGTTTTAAAAGTCAACTGGAGAAATGCACAAGAGAGCAACTCATTGTGTGGGTGGAAACCCAAGTTTCTGGTGCAGTCGGCGATCTCTGTTTCAGCATAGAGAAGAACAGCAATTGTCCTGATGTCTGAATGTCAGGTATTATGGCTGTAATCATCTGAAAGTCAGCATTGATTATAGCCTGTATGCCATAACCTGAGGTAGTGATAATCCTGAGGAGTGCAAATAATTACAGGAAACCGGATCACTATTAAGTTATGGATGCCTTACAAAGAGAACTTTATAAGCTTGGCTTGAAAAGTCAAATGTAATTGCTTAGAGATTGGGATAAGTAATCTAATGGCCTGACTCCTAATGTTTTACTAACAGCTACTTCTAAATAAATATGGTCCCAGGAATTTCATATTGTCCTTTCTATTCATCTTTTTTAAATGGATGAGAACATGCTTATTTTTCTCAGCCATTAAAGAATTATTTTTCGCATTATTTTATAATGCTAATATGAAATTCACAAAAGGTACTTTACATTGTAGTTCACAATTCATAAAATAAGATGCATAATGTTTGTAACCTGTTAAACTGTAATTAGGATTCATCACTAAAAGCCTAGCCAGCACCCTCTCCTAATGTAGAACGTATGTGCAATTGTCCACATTGTGTTCTGATTCTTTTTTACACAAGACCCAGTGCAAGTAGTCTTAGTAGGCAAAAAACCACAAGCTTGTGTTTAGACACTTATGTATCTGAATGATAAAACCGCAACTCTATACATACACAACTGAAGGCAAAGGTGATTGTATCCCTAGTTCAGTCTGTCAAAGCTACTCTGTGAAAAGGTGCCAAGTGTAGAACCAGCCAGCATTTTTTTTACCTGGTATCCTGCTCAGAATAATAAAGAGAGTCTTGGGGCCTTCTACCTCATTCACCTATTGTGAATGGAGATTAAAGGTGGTTTTAATAAATTAACTTCATGACACTAAAGACAAAACATGGCATTGTCAACATGTATTGGTATGAAGACTCCGTACTAAACGTTCTTATACTGTATCAACATCTATAAGGTTTTGAGGCCAGTAGGTCTCTGGACCAGACTGCCTTGGTTGTCCCCCCCCACACAGCTTTTACACTCCAAGAGCTGCTCTTGATGGTTTCTTTTTTGGAGTGTTTTTGGCGCCAATTCCTCTTGGTCATGACTCATAAAACAAATGTTGTTTTTCACATAGTTCCTGAAAGAGAAAGAGGCACTAATGAAAATGTCATTCTTAGTTTACAGTACTTGAAAAAAATGTGCAAGCTATTCTTTTTTAAATCTCTCTGGGCTTTAATGTTTTAGCTATGCAAAAAAAAAAAAGAATTTTTTTTTTTTTTTTTTTTTTTTTTAATGGCAGAGCCTTGATGTATCATAGAATTGAGTATACCACAGAATGTCAGTGTGGGGTCTTCTCAGGCACGATTCATTCCTATATGATATTCAGAGAAAGACTCCAAGGAGAGAGTTGCATAGGACTAATGGAGGTACATCCCAGATCTCTCATTCTTTTCCATTTCTTAAACTTAGGCCAATATGCCTTTAAATATATATATCTACATAATCCTATTTTTCATTGTTCCCTCCTGCATTAAATTCTTTTCTACAGGATTATCCCCCTCAGCGTGAAAATATTCTCTAGTATTTCACATTTATTAAAAAAGAGAACTCTACCTTTGAACCTCTCTCCCCTTTCAAATAGCTTTTTCTGGAATTTAACCAGTTTATCAAGTGACTGCAACGTGCCTAGTACTAGGGTAGGACTTAGTAGAGGGGATCGCACCTAAGCATATAATTTCAAGTACTGAAAATGCCAGTGAGGAAAAGGGGGAAGGAATGACTTTTTTTTTGGGGGGGGGGGTGGCATATGCTGCTGGCATCTCTAAAGAGGTAACATTTGATCAGAAACTGGAATGAAGTTAGGGAGGAAACCAAGTGAAGAAGTGCAAGTAAAGTACTGTACCTACAGAAAGTAGCCACCAATGGCTGGAGCATTGATGAGTACATGAAAGGAAAATGGGATCAAAGACTTTTTTTTTAGGATGGGGAAAAAATACCATACCAGGTTTCTATGCTAATGAGGTAAAATATGGATGATGCAGGGGTGAGCAGGGAGAACTGTTGGAGAAGAGAAAGGGAGCCAAGTGTTTGACCTCACATAGGAATGATGGAGCTGAGAGAGAGAGCGGGGACGGTGTATTGGATACAAATGTGAGGGTGATGTGGATGGTTATAGACGTTCCCTTCTAAGTGTGTCCTTTCTTTTAATGAAGTCAGGCGCAAGGCCATCAATGGGAGTAAGGAGGGCGAGGAGGTGGGGAGGTTTCCGGAGAGGTGTTACTGAGCAGTTACCTAGGAGAGAGGCCAGTAATGGACTAGGGATGGGTGTGTAATGGCCAGGCAGCATTGCAGGCTACCTGAAGTCAGTGTTCATGGTTTTAAATGAGACCAGGCCTATGTTTGTGTGCTTTCTCAGCCAGGTTCATCTATGTGACTGCAGAGGGGTAAAATGTAAATTAGATCATGTCATTCCTCTGCTCAGAATATTTTAGTAGCTTCCCCTTACACTTAGAATGAATCCAAACTCACTCAGATTATAAATCTCTACATACCAGGATCTATCGAATTTCTAAACTGGATCTCAAAGGTTGCAGCCTCCTGGATTTCTTTCAATTCCTGGAACAGTTCAAGTGTTTCTGCTTTATCCTTTACACCGACTGTTCTGTTGGCTCTTGATTATCACTTAGATTTATTTTAAATGTTACCTCTCAGAATAATTTCTCAGCTCACTCAATTGAAAGTAGCCACCAATCACTATTTTATCAGTGCATTTATGCTCATTGATTAATTGTAGCACCTAGAATGATGCCTGACACATAATAGATGCTCAGTAAATATTTATTGAATAAGTGAATTTGGATGAATGAAGGAAGAAATGGCCACATAAAATTAATTATTAAAAGTGAAAAAGAGCCTGGCCGGTGTGGCTCAGTGGTTGAGCGTAGACCTATGAACCAGGAGGTGAGTTTGATTCCAGGTCAGGATACATGCCCGGGTTGTGGACTTGATCCCTGGTAGGGGGTATGCAGGAGGCAGCCAATCAGTGATTCACTCTCATCATTGATGTTTCTCTCCTCTTTTTTGCTCTGAAATCAATAAAAAAAATTTGTTTTTTAAGTGAAAAATAGGCCTCAGAACTAAAATATTTACAAAACAAGAACTTGGGTTCCTCTATATGTTTCCACTTAAGTTGGAGTAAAGTCCAACTGAAATAGCACATGTGGCAAATGTCCCATTTTGAGTTTTTAACTTGCAAGGCAGGAGTTCAAAACAAAATCCTTTCAGATTACATTTTTGCTGGAATCTTTCCCAACCTCTCAGCTGAGTCACTTTATTTTATAAGAAACTTAACAACTTTGGAAGAATATTTGTTTTTTCAGGCTGGTAGGAATAGAAGTAAAAGAACCCAACTCCAAATACCAGAGAGGAAAATGTTAGGCAATGTGTACTATCAGATTTGGAGTTGATATTAGTTTCCTTTCTCACTCCTTAGCAAGTCATCGGGATACGCACATCAGGACTATCGCTTACCCTGGTGACAAAAGTTAATTCATTGTTTCCTTAACTCCTAAATTCACAGACCCCCGTAACTCAGCAGTGTCCTTCCTCAGTCTTTAGGTTAACTTCCGCTTCCCAGTCCTCGCAAGGTCCCCAGGCTTCCTGCCACCCCACATTTCCTTCGCTGGTTCCATAACTTTCCAGTACCATTACGTATTTTATTCTTATTTCTGTCTCTGACATTTCCCTCCAGGGAACCTTGCTACAGGCATATTTCACACATACTTTGATCAATCTACACACTTCAAGCTGCTTACATTTTCATTTTCAAAGCCTTTGCCAACCTGCTGCATCAAGCTAAGACACGCCCCAGCCTCTTAGTGTTGCATAAATGGGAATTCTCCAAGATTTCTGCAAGCAGCTTTGTCTCTTGCCTGCCATCAGTCCCGGGCTCCACCACATGGATACACCCCAGCAGATGCTCCTGCTGCTATGAACGCGTTTAAAATGCAGGATTGTTTTGCCACCTCATCTTTCATACTTCTCTGCACCAGAGCCCTTACGTGGTTTTGTTCTTCAACACCAACCTCCCAGCGCTTGTGTGGTCTGTCTAGGGGTCGACAGTACCTTGGCTTTCACTTCTATCCTACTTTGCAATTTATCACTTTCTTGGAGAGGGTCTGGCTTTAAGTTTGAGTTATTGCATGACTCAAAAGTAACAGAAATATGATTCTTGTAAAAACATGTCCTGATTCAGTCTTACTAATTTAGATTCCTTCCCCACCCCAGATGCTGACAATAGTTTTGTTCAGTTTTGGATCACATGTTCTTGGGGAATGTCTTATTCTGGAGATCTGCTAGAAGGAAAGACAGGCTTCTCTTAAGTTTTGCTTTCAAATTTTCATTTGGTCTGCAGTTTGATACGTTCCGACAGCCCCCTGTGAAAAATAGATCTAACAGTTTCTTAACCTGAACTCGGCCTTCAAGTTGTACTTTATAAGAAAGAGTGCAAAACAGGAATGATAATAGGGTAGCTTCCTTTGATGAATTCATTACCACGTTCTCCCTGGTTCAGTGTTTTAATCATTGTGTTTTAAGAATTTTAACAAACCTTTATATTTTAAGGGATTTTGCTCCTCCAGCTAGTAGATGGGTAGCTCAAAAGCGCATATACCCAAGGTGGGTTTCCATAACGCCAATGAAACAGGCCCCAGGACCCCTCACCCGCACAGCCCTTCCAAGACGCACACTGTCGTGTATAATTTTGCATTCATAATTTGTGATATTTTTCTTAAACTGGGCCCAAAAGCTTATTAAGCTCCACAAAATGTGGATGTGCCCCTGCTTGTGGACCTCTGTGTTGAGTACAAATCTATTTCTCCAGCGTAGATATTTCTCCTCAACTCCAGCTCCCAGTAAACACTGGCCTTCTTTTCCCATCACTTGCATGTCCCATAGGCACCTCAGACCCTGTGCAAACTGATGAGGGTTAATCCCTGACCAGCCACCAGACTCCTGCCTCCCAAACCTGCCTTTCTCCGCTTCTGGGTCTGACTTCAGTGAATGTCCCCGTGTATACCGGGTTAGTTCTCTAAGCTAGAGAGATCCCTGTTCCCTTAACTGCCTTTTCCAGTCTTGCTCCGAGCTGTGAAGATTCTATCCCTGCACCAAGACCAGACTCGTAGTTTCCTGTCTGATTCTTCCAACACACTCCTCAAAGGTCTCCCTCATTCGCCACCCCTCCTGTCCTGTTGTTTTTCTCATGCCCACTGGTTTCAGGATAAAAATCCAAACTCTACAAGATGAATCAAGATCCTTCCTGACTTCTCTGTGCCCTGTGCCCTGGGCTCACCTCTCGATCCCCAGCTCAGAACCTGCCCTCTTCACCCACCACTGGTAAGTGGACTGGCCTCTACGTGTGACCCCTCCTCTGACTTCCACACAGTCCCTTTGCCCAGATAACTCTTTCAAGACCTTGTTCTGGAATTGCCTCTTTCAGGAAGCGTTTATAGATGAAATCCTCCAATGCACTTTCCTTCGTGTCTTCCAACGCAGTGTGTTAAATGTCTGTTTTCTTATCTGCCTCTTAAAAAAGCTATGGACTCTTTGTCTCCTGTATCATCAGCTCTTTCTTGGCACAGAGCCGGCCCATAGGAGATGGCCCACAAAGAACTGAATAAGGAATATCTGGAGTGGGAGAGGGAGAGCCTTGGGATAGCCAGTGTCTCACTCATCTGAACAGACCTCTTCCTCCTCCCGTTGCACAGACAGATTAAGTCACATCCTGTGACCCACAGAGCAGTTGCCTTCCTGACTATTGTATTTCTCTTTGTAAATGAGTATCATTTTCATTTTTTCTTAAAAACAGGGCCTTGCCCTAACTGGTTTGGCTCAGTGGATAGAGTGTCGGCCTGCGGACTAAAGGGTCCCAGGTTTGATTCGGTCAAGGGCACATGCCCGGGTTTCGGGCTTGATCCCCATTGCAGGGTGTGCAGGAGGCAGCTAGCTGATCAATGGTTCTCATCATTGATGTTTCTGTCTCTCTCCCTTTCTCTTCCTCTCTGACATCAATAAAAATATATTTTAAAAAATAATAAAAACAGGACCTTATCTTTATAAAAAATTACCTGTATAGTTTGATGTTTAACTTATGGCTTGAATTAAGAGAAAAGTTTTTTTGCTTTTTACTAAAGTGATCTGTTTCTAAAATGTGAACCATTTAAAAGTGTATAAAGTAAAAAGTAAAACATTTCCCACAATCCTGCTGACCACGCACCTTAATAAACGAGGATTAACAGTTTGGTCTATATAAATACACATGCCTACCATCACTCAGACAAAAGCTGGAGAATCACTATGCCCACAGTTTCAGTAGCAATCACACATTTCTCTCTAGTGGATTGAAAGTATCTTTAGAAGAAAGTCACAAACTATAAATATATTGTTTCCTCCCATTTTATTCAAACCCAAGAACAAGTATCTCTACATTTTCAAGTATAAGGTTTGACTCCTGGGAAGAATAACCAGTTCCCCTTCATTCCTGTTCCCGATGCACCACCCCTTCCCCAGGCTGAATTCCCCAGGCCTGTTTCAGCCGTTAGAACTGTGAGTTCTGCTACTAAAAGAAAAGGAATTTCTGACCGCCCACTTCTAAGTGAAATTGCTAAAGTGATGCCTGCATTTGGAATTTATTTAACAGGTTTTCTGAATGCAAATTTCCTCAGAAACTCTTAATCTTTCTTAAACTTACTTTGTGCTTTATTTGGAATAATGTGTAGACATTTAAACCTGAATTTTCCTGATAATCTTAGCAAGGGCTTAAAGAGACCATCAGGTAGGATAGAGATGGAAGAACTGAAGCCCGTGCTTCTAACACAAGGTGAGCCTGATGTTCCAGGATCTACCCTCAACCCCAAACAAACAAACCCTGCATCAGGGAAAGCTGAGGAGATGGGAGGGTCCTTTGATCATTGCAGAAAGCTTTGAACGGTTCACTTGTAAGAAAGCATCGATTATTCTAATTCCTTAGCTGACTCACCCAAACTAAATACACGTCAGAGTAACTGGAATTATGCTATGAGATACGGTTCCACACCAAAGAAAATATCCTAAAATACTTTCAGATGTTATTATGATTTGGTTGTATATAAAAGCTACATTTATTTATTTATTTACTTTATTTTTTTTACCAAAAAGTGCTGTTTGGAGAGCAATGCACATCATACTTACGTTTTTGCCAGTTCCATTGATATTTGTTCCAAAGAGCATCCCTTGGTCTCAGGTATAAACACAACAATGAACCCCAGGGCTGTGAGACTCATGATCGCATAGATAAAGCACACCCAGGGCAGGCCAATGAGATCTACAGAGGATGAAAGGGATTGGTTAGAAATGCATTCGGTGTTGCTTTGATGCCACTTGTGGACAGCCGCTTCTTAGAACATATATAAAAACAGGTATTTTCAAACACGAGACAGTATCCTGGGAAATTAAAGCTACAGCCAGCCTCGGAAAGCTTCATGTTTTCAAACCACCCCAGCTTTCTCTGGCAGAATAAGTAGCAGTCTTGCAACCATCACAATGTACACCCAATGCTATCTTTTTGGTGAGCATGCTTTTCTCTTTGCTCACTGCAAAAAGAGAACTGGAAACATATAAAGCAGAAGGTAAAATATCTCCTCTCTCTCTTCAGGCTCCACAATTCCTCTCTGAGAATCACTGCTATAGCAGTTTGCTTTCTATTAATGGACATTTAAAAGACACATTGATACAGATGGATTTTCTTGGAACAAACTCACCCTTCTATACTCTGATTTGAATAAATCATTTACCTATTGGCAATATTTTATCACTTAGTAGCTAGTGTATTTGCAATGCTTCTTCCTGGATTTACAAAAAAAAAAGGGATGGTGGTTCTAATGAAAGGCATTCACTTGCTCAGATTCAGCAGCAAGAAGCCTAGTTTTCCCTCAAACCACTTCCTGCCGAAGGTACAGTTCCTCTGCGGTTACTGACCAAGGCCAAGATACGTTAACCACTAGCTGGCTAACTGGTGCGAGATGGCCCCCTATGCACTTGAGCCTGCATTTGCATTGGGCCAGCCCCTGGCTCTGCAGCAGAAAGTCCAGAGTGGCAGTGGGTAGTAAGGAGGCAGCTGGCCCTTCAGACCAACCACAGGCTGGAACTGTGCAAACAGCCCTCAGCAGCTGCAGCCACAAATCACGACTGGTCAGCTAGGAACCTAACCGGACAGTTATGTATGAGGCAGTTCCATGAGTGCAGTGGAAGGAGCTGACCGTATAACCACCCAGCTGTGCCGGGAGGAGAGGCAGGAAGCAGACACAGCACTGCTGTCCTGGCGTTTTATTTAAACTGATGCGTCTGTGCTCTTCTCGCCTCAGCATAGAGTCTGACCCAAGTGAGTGCTTAATAAAGTGCTTGTACAATTGGTCATTTTCCCCTTCTGGGGCATAAAACCAGAATAGAGAGTAAAAAAACCCCAAAGGTTGTCTCATCAAACATGTCTCCTGTTCTGTTTTACTAGTAGCACTTTCAGTAACAGGGGGCTCGCCACTTTCCAAAGATTTTCTGTGCATGGTGAGCCGGCCCCACCTGTTGAAAAGGCCTTCCTTTTCCGTTCCTACATGCAAGTCCGCCTTTCAGGAACTCTGGTCGGAGGTTCTGCTTTGCCCTCTGGGTCGGCTCTCCCAATCCCTCTTCAAGACAGCGTTCAAATGTGTCTGTGCCCCTCCACCCCTCCCTGAGCATCCTCTCCGTCAAACATCCTGAACTCCTGCAATTGTTCTTCACAAACAACGTTAGAGAGGACACGTGTCTCCAGGCGTGGGTCATTCTTACTAAAGGCTATTCTTGCCAAATGCAAAAATGTAGCACAGTATTTTGCAGACCTGCTGTAAGGCAGATAAGCTGGACAGGAACCCGGCGTAATACATGTAACAACATATAACTGACCAAATAGTGCATATAAGCAATGGCTAAGCCTCCCTTGGGGGACAGAGTTTTGGATATCAATCTTCTGTCTCCTTTACCTGCTGCAAGTAAATAAAACTACCTAACATGTCTCATTCTTGACTAGAACACCCAAGCAGCGGACCCCTTGAGTTTGGTAACAATAGGTCACATGTCCATGTCATCCAGATTGCACTTGCACTTGCTTGGTGGACACACTGCAAGCCTCTTAAAATATTTAAACAACCTTCTAAAAAATATTTTACTCAGAGCCGAGCATAGCACGGCAGCTGTGTCATGCCCCCTGCGAGTAAGTCTGTCTCTCTGGGACACTCCTTTATTGACAGCGAACTTGCACTAGGAAGGCTGGTGTCCAAGGACTTGCTACCCCTAAGTTTTGACTTGGAAAACTGATTATTTGAAAGTAAGTATAGAATTTCAAACTTAGCCCAGTTAAATGCCATCTACAGATTTCAGACTACCCCAGGATTTGTAAAAAGTGGATTCACTTTCCCAGTGTTGGTTCTACAAGCCCATGAGGACATCACATATATTCGCTATTCTTCCCAGAGGTTCGTGTCATCTTTTTCTGTCCCTTATCATTTCCATTCTTCCTCATATTTCTCTTTCTCCACATCAAATAGCAGACTAGGGTGTGTGTGTGTGTGTGTGTGTGTGTGTGTGTGTGTGTATGTGTGAAAGTGAAGGGCACAGGTCTCAGAGTGTGATTTGAGTAGGAGAGGTATGGTTGGTGTTAATGACTAGTTCCTGTGTTTCCTTTAATCTTGGGCTATTTCTAAAAAAGTAGGAAGGATACAAACATTTTCAAATTTTATATAAAAACTTAAGCCATGCTTATTTAACAACTGCGAAGTTTCCGTAAGTAGATGTACTTTAAAAAAAAGTGGTTGACAAGATTCAGAAGTACTATATAAAGATATCCTATCTAATAAAAGAGTAATATGCAAAATAACCATCACACCCTTACTCCATCATTCTGTCACAAAGACGGCGGCGGCCACAGAGCTGGAGTAAGCAGGAGGCTGGGTTGCCCCCGGCGATGGAGGAAGCCAAGCTTCCCGCCTGCCCTGGCCCGCCCTGAGCTCCACTCAAGGCTACAAAGTTTCAATTATAGAAGATAAATAAATCCCAGATACCTGCTTCCAGCCAGTGTGGCCTCTGCTCAAGGAGGGGCTGGGAGCCTCCACTGCCAGGGGCAACCCAGGATTCAAGCGGGACCAAGGCTACAAAGTTTCAATTATAGAAGTTAAATAAATCCCAGATACCTGCTTCCAGCTGTGGCCGTGGCCAGCCTGAAAACGGCCCTCAGCCCCTCACCCAGGCTGGCCAAACCCCCATGGGGTGAGGGTCCCCACTGGGGGGCTTGACCAACCTGCAAACAGCCATCAGCCCCTCACCCAGGCTGGCCAGGCACCCCAGTGGGGACCCCCGCCCTGAAGGGGATGTGGCCAGCCTGAAAACGGCCCTCAGCCCCTCACCCAGGCTCGCCAGACACCCTAGCGGGACCCCCACCCTGATCCGGGACACCTTTCAGGGCAAACCAGCCAGCCCCCACCCATGCACCAGGCCTCTATCCTATATAGTAAAAGGGTAATATGCAAACTGACCCTAACAGCAGAAAGACTGGGAATGACTGGTCACTATGACACACACTGACCACCAGGGGGCAGACGCTCAATGCAGGAGCTGCCCCTTGGTGGTCAGTGCACTCCCACAGGGGGAGCTCTGCTCAGCCACAAGCCAGGCTGACGGCTGCCAGAACAGCAGTGGTGGTGGGAGCCTCTCAGCAATAAGGATGTCCAACTGCAGCTTAGGCCTGTTCCCCACTGGCAAGTGGACATCCCCCGAGGGCTCCTGCGCTGCCACAGGGATGTCTGACTGCCAGCTTAGGCCCGATCCCCTGGGGAGTGGGCCTAAGCCAGCAGGTGGACATCCCCCGAGGGGTCCCAGACTGCGAGAGGGCACAGGCAGGGCTGAGGGACCCCCCCAAGTGCACAAATTTTTGTGCACAGGGCCTCTAGTACTAGTATAAATATCTACATTTTTTAATATACATCCACTTTTGAGAATTTATATATAATATATGCATATTATTCACATTCTTCCAATGATTTTATGATTATTTTTATACTTTGCTTCAATCACAACCCAAATACATAACTTAAAATTGATTGATATGTTTCTTAAAATCTGCAGGTTTTACCTCCATTTCTCCTCCCCACCTTTCCCCTCACTTTACATTTTTTATGAAGAAACTGGGTCATTTGTCTCATAGTTTTCCCCAGGCGGGATTTTGCTGATTGTCGTCATATCACATGACCTTCTGTCCTTTGTTTCCTGTAAGCTGCAGTTTAGATCTAGAGCAGCGATTTTCAGCCTTTTTCATCTTATGCACACATAAGCTAATGACTAAAATTCTGCAGCACACCAAAAATACAGTTTTTTGCCAATCTGGCAAATAAAATTTATAATTTTGATTCATTCACATGGGACAGTTATTGTTGTGCTGGCTGTTATTATTTTTTTATTTGACAATCTAAAGGGAAGAGGTTGTGCCCCTGACTGAATAGTCAGGTATTGCATTTTTTTTTTCGTTCCAATTTTTAGTATATGTGCTGCCAAAGCGAGCACCAGGTATTGCATTTAAAAAAATTCTTGTGGAACACCAGTTGAAAATAGAGGCTTAAGAAGATTTAGATTTTCTTGTTTCTTTGTTTGCAACCTCTCGTTCTCTCTCTCCCTCCCACCTCCCACCCCCGCTATATCCCCCTATATATATATGGAAGAAAACTCAACTCCTTGGTCAATTTTGGAGGATGCTGGGGAACTTTCTCATTATTTCAAAAACTAAACAATAAAGAGAAAGTTTCAAGTATTTATCTTTCCTTTCTTATATGACCCATACGTCAGGGTAGGTAAATAACTATTACTTATTATAAATTCCTTCTAGTAGTTATAGAAGAAATTTCTCCTTAGCATAGTATTAGAGATAAAAATTTAGAAGGAATGATAGAGAGAAAATAACAGATCTGGGCAATGATGCTCAAAGGAAGTGGTTGCAACAAAGTGGGAGACAAGCAAATGACATATGCCTCGATGGCAGGACACGCAATCACCTACAAAGGAGTTTGCAAACAAAGAGACAAGAAAACCCAAATCTCTTCAAGCTTCCAGATCTAAACAGCAGTTGTCAGGAAACACAAGGGACAGAAGGTCACATAATATGACGGCAATCAGCAAAATCCCGCCTGGGGAAAATGATGAGATGAATGACCCAGTTTCTTCATTAAAAATATAAAGTAGGGGAGAGGGGAGGAGAAAGGAAGATGAAACCTACAAAATACAAGAGACATATCAATCAATTGTAAGTTATATATTTGGATTGTGATTCAAACAAACAAAATATAAAAAACAATTATAAGACACTTTGAAGAATGAACAGATTGGATATTGACACCAAGGAAGTTTTATTAATATTTTAGGTGGATAATGATAGTGTGGCTATAGTTTTATTTCTTGTTTTATTTTTTTAAAATATGTTTTTATTGATTTCAGAGAGGAAGGGAGAGGGAGAGAGAGATAGAACGTCAATGATGAGAGAGAAACATCATTGATTGGCTGCCTCTTGCATGCCGCCCCCCCCCCCCCCGACCCGGGGCCCTAGCCTGCAACTCAGGTACGTGTCCTAACCAGGAATCAAACCTGTGACCTCTTGGTTCATGATTCAAGGCTCAAGTACTGAGCCACACTGGCTGGGCGTGGCTATAGTTTTTAAGTGCCTTATCTTTTAGAGGTCCATGCTGAAATGTTATACACAAATGACATGCTGTCTGAGATGTGCCTTAAAATAATGTGGGGGCATAAGCAGGTGGGGTTTTAAGTGACTTATGGTTGACAACCCTTTAAGTTGGGTAGTGGGTACATCAGGTTCCTTGCTACTCTTTACTTTGGAATGTGTTTGACAATGTCCACAGAAAAATATTTTGTTTTGCCTTTTTTTTTTTTTTTTTTTTTTTTTTTAGCTGAGTGTGCTTCCCTTACATTTGCCCTAAGAGCACAAAGGCGTTAGTGGAAGAGGACGAATCCTTACCAGTCACAGTCAAAAATGTCAGCGAGATGAGGAGGTTGATGCCCCAGTTCATGCTTGAAGTTAAAGCCATGGCTCGACCTCTGATTCCACCGGGAAAAATCTCGCTGAGCACCAGCCAGGGCACTGGAGGAAAAGGCAGAGGGGGCAGGGACAGCAAAATTATCAAAAAGCCACTGACACCCAGGGGTGGCCCACGGATCTCTGCCCTAGTCTTGCCTGATTTGTGGTCGGAGAGCAGAGCCAAGTGGGGAAGGGTTCAGGAGGAACTCTGAGAAAGCCTGGCAATGGTCCCCAGAGTAGGGACGGGGATTTGAAATGCTGTGTGTGACACAGGCCTGACAAATGCAAATGAGAAGGGCAGTGGGTGGGGCCACCTGCCAAGCACAGAACCTTAACGTCAGTGCCTCCGGGCCCTTTCCTGTAATCTCGTTTGCCCTTGACCTTGGAGAAATCCAACATCATAGCTACTGAGTGGGTAGAACATAATACTCTCACTTGTCCTGCTTGTGCTTCCTTGGCCTGGGGCAAGCTAAATAGAGAGAACCTCTAAATTAAATAGAGCTCCAAGATTTGATTAGCATACCAGACTCAACACACTTGAATCTCTGAAAGGAGACTCTTCTTGGCATGAACACTGATCAGAAGACTTTTTATTATCTGAGAGTGACAGGGAATCTTATAGGACCTGCCTTACGGCCTTAGAAAGGGGAGTGGAGGAGCAAATGAACTTATCTCCTGCTCCCAGCCTATCAAACCGAGTTTGCCTAATAAATTGGCTGCGAGTTCCTACAATGGGCTGAGCAATTTACAAAACTTACCTCATCTGATCCTCACAAAATGCTACCAGACAAGAGCTATTACTGTCTGTCTTTTATAGAACAGGAAATTGAGGCTTAAAGAGTTAATAATTAGCCAAGGTCATGGGGCACATAAGTGGCAGAGGTGGCATGGAGCCCTGGCGCCCAGTCTCTGGAACTCATGCGTTTTAATCACGGTGCTGTGATTGGTGGTGGCTCAATAAATATTTGTTAATGAATAATTAAATGCAGAGTTCAAACATAGTTTGATTCTGAGGAAAGGATTTAGGAGCTGTCCAGCCCTGGCTCACTGCTGACTAAGTCACCTTGTGTTGAAAGGCCAACAATTATATATCGACCAGCTGCACCGTCCTAGCCCAGAGGAGGTGGTGGGAGGAAGGAGCCAGAAGCCAGGGAGGGTCCCACCGGCCAGCAACCACTCAGGCCACCTATGCCAGAATCACGCAGTCAGCTGTGCCTCTAATTTAATGTCTTCCATGATACTACCACACTGTGGAGGAAACATCTGCTCCTAATAAATTTGCTGTTTTCAAGTAAGAAAAATAAAAAAATAATAGAAGAGGGCAGGAAAAACATTTTTTTTTTCTTGTTTATCTTCTCCAAGTAAATCGATATAGGGTTATCTCTAAAGCCTGGAAGAAAATGACCATGATTATTAGTGTTCTAATTCACAGGGAATTCAGAAACATACTTCTACATCACTCCCCTCCACTTCTTGCCCTTCACTAGGTTCTCGCAGATTCTGTCCTTAGAGATCAGTGCAGTGCTCTGGTAGCCTTGCCTGATGGGATCAAGACTGGGATCTGGCTCAGAGTAGAATGACAACTGCATCATTCTGGTGAAGCCTTTGTAATAACCTGTCCTTGGGCAAATACAAGATAAAATTATGTAAATTCTACTTTTTGAAGCTAAACAATCTATATCACAGACCAATGCCCCTGTGTCCCTTCCTGCCACGGGTCTTTAACATGGTTCATGGTAGAGCAGAGGGCCCCAACAGCCTTTTGCTCTAGCAGCCATGAGGAGGAAGTGAGGGAAGCACATGCTCATTTTCTTTAAGTGAGGGCATTAGCACAGGTTTTCTTTTCTTTTTTTAAATATATTTTTATTGATTTCAGTGAGGAAAGGAGAGGGAGAGATAGAAAAATCAGTGATGAGAGAGAATCATTGATCGGCTGCCTCCTGCACACCCCTCACTGGGTATGGAGCTCACAATCCTGGCATGTGCCCTGACTGGGCATCAAACCTTGACCTCTTGGTTCATAGGTTGATGCTCAACCACTGAGCCACGCCAACCTGGCAGCACAGGTTTTCTTGATTTACTTCCATCCCCACCTCATCACCTCTTCACCCTGTTCTTTCCTTTCCCACCTGTCATACTGAAGCCTCTTGGAATCATTTAGTGGGGCCTGGGGATTGTCATTGCTGAGGTCATCAGAGCCGTGTTGGCCACAGCTGAGAATGAGCTGGTCCTGCTGTTACAGGAAGTGTGGTCTCGCCAACCAAAAGATGGAACAGATGCAGGAGGTACTAGGTATAAGTGCTCAGTCTGAACTGCCAAGGGCTTGCCTAAGAGCTTCCCACCCAATTTCCACACTGAGAGCCTTTCCGAGGCTCATACCCAATGCAGCACCGAGCCACGCCCTCGCGCAGTCTGACCCGTCAGTGGGCAATGCACTGAATATTGGAAGTGACTTCCCTCGGTCTCTCATGGAAACGTGTTGGGCAAACCTTACAGCTGACATTTCAAAAGATAATGTAGCATTGCTGAAAGCTTCTACTTCTTTTTAGAAAGAATTCTGAATTCCTTCTAAATTCTACTTCTCAGAGAAAGAATTCCAGAACTGAAGCCTTGGTTTATCTCATAGACTGGATGTTGCAACAAAATTGATGTGTTTCAACATGGATAGTTCACCTCCTAATATGGAGTCTAAGTCAAAAATAAGGAGACTATTATTTTAACCATAATTTCAGAACCATAAAATCACAGGTTTTCAGATCCAGAGAGAGTGAAATAAAAACCAAAATGGCACCTGCAGCAAGAGAGAACTTACTGAAAGGGTCAGAGCCTCTCCAGGACTTAGGAGCAAGACAGGGCCAGACTCTGACAGGCCTCCGTGTCCCTGGGCGTGGGCTGCGAGTGCCCCAAACAGGACAGGCAGAGAAGCCTTGTTTCAGTCCGTACAACGGTACAGACCCTCACCTGCGGATTTGATACGTTGGTATTTATAATGTAAAGTTTCTTAAAACCACTGATGCTTTTTCGAAGGAGATGGCCTAATTTCAGAGAGAAGCGGTGGCTCTCTCTGGCTGTCCTCACTGTCCCCTTCCTTGATCATGGCCCACAGGAGATGCTATGTGCTATTTGCTTGGGAGGAATCCAGAGAGTATCCAGAGACAAAGTGAATGCCTGCCGTGAGCTCAACCACTGTAGTTTAGCAGGTCCTGAAACAATCCTCCTTGACCCCTATTATTCCACCTGCAACCCCACACACCCCAGGACTACCTCAGCAATATCTCTCTCTACAAATGTCAGCATCTGCACGTCTTTCAGGCCTTCCCTATGCTGCACGGATTTGCTGGGAGATAACTGTGCACAGATATTGGACTCACATTTCACATGATATTAAATCAGACTGCCTGTCAGAACCTGCCTGGTTCTGATGAAATCTGCAGAGTGTTTATGGCTGCACAGAGTGTCATAAAAAGACCATGATGGGCAATAAGTTAAAGTGGCTGTGTGTGCAGTGGAGGACATGGGCCTGGATTAACAGGGGCTGTCAGTGGTAATGGCTGAGCCCTGCCACATGTAAACCGCCATGCGCATCTCCTCCCTCCTCCATGTTGCTGCCACTGGCACAGTGTTTCCCGCTGAGGCTGTCAGTTCTCTCCCTGTGCTCCCAGATTTAAACCTCGGGGCGCTCCCGGCACACTTTCCGTTTGGCTGGAGCTCTTCCTGAACCACCTGGTGTGGTAGCCGCAGGTTTGAAAGTCACATGGAAGTTTTGAAACTCTCACCAGAGCACTCCTACCAAGTTTGGAGGAAATTCTGTGCTTTGGCTGCAGACTTTTTAACAACTTGATTTGCCTAGGAGCCAATCCTATACTTTGGAGGAGTGAAGCCAAACTCCTACAGTTTCTACCGCCTTTGCAAGTAGCATGCAGCACACCCATCTCTCTCATTGCAAAGGGCTACTTTCATGTGAATTAGAAAGAGAATATACCCACTTTCTTCCAACCAGATGTTTAGGTTCTGGCCTCATAAGTTCCCTAAGTGGGAAAATTACAGTCTTTAAAAAATATATTCCACCATAGGTCACCATCTCCCACATCAACAATGATGTGTTAGTAGCTTTAATTAATTAATTAATTAATTTATTTATTTTTGTATTCTCTCTTCTCTAAGTCTCTTTGAGTTTTGTTCACTCCTGGCCTTGTGGGGGGAAAAAATTCAACCAAGCTGAATTTCTTAAATGACAAACCAAGACATTCCAAGGTGAATGTCACTTACTTCTAGAATTACATGATTCATGTATTCTCTTTAAATAGGTAAAATTTATTGTTCTGAAGAATAATGAAAGTGGATGGGGAGTTGAAGAAATTTTATGATAGTAAAGTCATTCAATTCTTCTAATTAACAACCAAAGTTTTTTCTAATATCAGCTGATAACTTGTATAGGTCATACTTCAGTTTTGTTGAAAGCAAATTATTGAAAACATCTAGGCTTATAAAAAGATTATTATCTAGTTATTAGAGTCTTGCCCTAACTGGATTGGCTCAGTGGATAGAGCGTTGGCCTGCGGACTGAAGGGTCCCAGGTTCGATTCCAGTCAAGGGCATGTACCTTGGTTGCGGGCACATCCCCAGTAGAGGGTGTGCAGGAGGCAGCTGATCGATGTTGCTCTCTCATTGATGTTTCTAACTCGCTATCCCTCTCCCTTCCTCTCCGTAAAAAATCAATAAAAATATATTTTTTAGTTATAGGAGTCATTTTTCACCCAACACCTACATCAGTATTTCCAGTCGTCTCTTTAATTAGTGTTTCCGGGGTTTTTATAATGTGAGACATCATGTATCATAAGATTTCTGATGGGCAAAAGGTGTGATTTCTTTTAAGTGGAAGAACACATAACTGGGGAGAGGGGAAGGAGAAATGTTAGGAAACAGATTTTTTTTGAAATTCAAATTTATTTCCTTTGAAGTATCATTAAAGGACCATTCTGGAAAATAAAGCCAGGAGTATGCAAGTATGCATATCCTAGTTTGCAGACCACTGAATCAGTGTTCAAAATGCAAGGGGGCGG